TTTTAACAAGGAATTTTATACAATTTTTTAAAACTTACATTCCCAGGAAACTGCTGTGTTTGTGAAATGTTCTATTCTGTGTACTGTGTGTTGTAACATATAAGTGTACGTACTTTGCGTGTAAACAAATTATGTGATAGTGGTTTCCCATTTGTAGTGATGTTTGCCCTCTGAAGATGGTCCACAGAGACCGAAACATGTAAGGGTGTTAAGTTTTTATGTAGTAAAAAACTTACAGGTCACATTGAACGGAGTGATTTATAATTTGTTCTTATAATCTGTTTAATTTGCGACCTGTGAATTGGAGGTCGCCTAAATGTGTCGGGCGGTACAGAAACAGTTTGCATACAAAGTTACATTTAAGTCTCTTAATATTATCCTTGCCGATTTCCCTAGTGTTCAGCAGAGAAGAATGATATTTAGCCTACTTTCTTTACTTTGAAAAAAAATACAAAAAGCTTATGACATTACCTTACTGTCTGTGTGTTTGTGTATCCAGCCTATAAGCTTTAGAATGCCAGAACCAATCTTTATGAAACTTGCCTAGCGTTACTCAGCAATAATCTGTTTCAGCTTGTTAACCCTGCCACGTGTTTCAACAAGCCGTTGTCTAGCAATGGACGCCTGATTTGACTCAAAATATTCTGGCTTTTAGGCGGCACGCCACAATATCATGGCACTTGAGTCCATCTCAGCGGTGTAATTCATAAATAATCCTATCAGTCTGTGGTATATTCCCGTTATCGTTGTTAGGCAACGGCTCGGCAAACACGTTCCCGCGGCAAACAATATAGGAAACAAAGAAGAATTAAAGGAATCGTCGTCTTCTATGCGGACCATATGGTATCAAAGGAGAGTTTGTGGGTTTTTCTGTGCACCTCCATATTGTTATCACGTAACGGCTTGGTAAACAATTTGCCGAGGCAAAAGAGCGATTGTTGCAGGCGTCGTTTCCAACGCGATACGTGACGTATCAAAGGATTGTAGGCGATTAATTCCTCCCAGAACTTCCTGCTTAAAAAACTGTTGTGGATTTTATTATTAACATTTGGTATAGTCTCTTCAAATTTGATTTTTTTTTAAAAGCCTCCAGTGGGGGGACAGATATTTGCGCCACCTCCTGCATACGGGATCCCACTGGTGCTCTTTCAGTCCAGGGGTTCATAACTTACGGGATATCAGAGCATAAACATAACTTTCATTTCATTGTCTCAAAGACTTGGCAGGAAAGATGTATTGGAAACAAGGTCTTTGTTTCGTTTTAATTTTAATTCTCTCTACAGCTTTTGTTGCATACTTACTCATGGTTTCCTGCATTCCGACACTGAAAACGGAGTCGATATGTTCCCCCGAAATGCCAGTAGACCTTAACTGGACTATATGCCTAGCATTTCAGAAGACAGAAACTTTACATCAAACCATTAACTCCTCTATAAAGGCATTTAGCCGTGGAGCTAGTTGGTTATTCCACAAATTAAACAAGTTTCATGAAAATTCTTTCACTTGTTCCGGAGCTGTAACTTTCGAACAGACTGACCGGTCAGTTTTTTTTTTTTTTTTTAAAATTTCGTTACAAACGCAGGGGAAACTTCACTCAGAAACACTCAAATGGTGGAGATACAGACTACACACACCAATAATCCGATTGCTTGAAATGCTCCAAACTCTGTGCAGTAGAAGAAGGCGTAATGACGAGTCTGCTCGTGCACTGACCTGTCCTTGGTGTTGTATGGCACGTTGCAGTGCTCCAGGAGGAAGGTCACGCACTCGAGATGTCCCTCGGCAGCCGCGAGGTGGAGCGCAGTGCGACCGTCGTAATCACAGAGCGTCATGTCCATGCCCGACAGTTTGTGCCTGCACACACGCACACAGGTTTCGTGACTAGGGCTGCAAACGGAGGTAGCTCCACTTTTGGGAAGCTCTTTCCTGTGCCGTTCCAAACAACGGCACACGCAGAAACATATTTCCGAGTCAAACAGTGTAATAATGTCTTTTAGTATAACGCATGATCATCCCCAGGTCTTTTCTATTAGTCTACCTAGTTCTGAATCGGGGTGTCTGCCTAGTTCTGAATCGTGGTGTCTGCCCAGTTCTCAACTGGAGTGTCTGCCTAGTTCTGAAATGGAGGGTCTGCCTACTTCTGAGCTGGAGTGTCTGCCTAGTTCTGAATCGGGGTGTCTGCCCAGTTCTCAACTGGAGTGTCTGCCCAGTTCTCAACTGGAGTGTCTGCCCAGTTCCGAACTGGAGTGTCTGCCTAGTTCTGAAATGGAGGGTCTGCCTACTTCTGAGCTGGAGTGTCTGCCTAGTTCTGAATCGCGGTGTCTGCCCAGTTCTAAACTGGAGTGTCTGCCCAGTTCTCAAATCGAGGGTCTGCCTACTTCTGAGCTGGAGTGTCTGCCTAGTTCTGAATCGCGGTGTCTGCCCAGTTCTAAACTGGAGTGTCTGCCCAGTTCTGAAATCGAGGGTCTGCCTACTTCTGAGCTGGAGTGTCTGCCTAGTTCTGAATCGCGGTGTCTGCCCAGTTCTAAACTGGAGTGTCTGCCCAGTTCTGAAATCGAGGGTCTGCCTACTTCTGAGCTGGAGTGTCTGCCTAGTTCTGAATCGCGGTGTCTGCCCAGTTCTAAACTGGAGTGTCTGCCCAGTTCTGAAATCGAGGGTCTGCCTACTTCTGAGCTGGAGTGTCTGCCTAGTTCTGAATCGCGGTGTCTGCCCAGTTCTAAACTGGAGTGTCTGCCCAGTTCTGAAATCGAGGGTCTGCCTACTTCTGAGCTGGAGTGTCTGCCTAGTTCTGAATCGCGGTGTCTGCCCAGTTCTAAACTGGAGTGTCTGCCCAGTTCTGAAATCGAGGGTCTGCCTACTTCTGAGCTGGAGTGTCTGCCTAGTTCTGAATCGCGGTGTCTGCCCAGTTCTAAACTGGAGTGTCTGCCCAGTTCTGAAATCGAGGGTCTGCCTACTTCTGAGCTGGAGTGTCTGCCTAGTTCTGAATCGCGGTGTCTGCCCAGTTCTAAACTGGAGTGTCTGCCCAGTTCTGAAATCGAGGGTCTGCCTACTTCTGAGCTGGAGTGTCTGCCTAGTTCTGAATCGGGGTGCCTGTCCAGTTCTGAAACGGGGTGTCTGTCCAGTTCCGAACTGGAGTGTCTGCCTAGTTCTGAAATGGAGGGTCTGCCTACTTCTGAGCTGGAGTGTCTGCCTAGTTCTGAACTGGAGTGTGCCTAGTTCTGGAGTTTATACTTAGATCTGAACTCGAGTGTCTGCCCAGTTCTGAACTCGAGTGTCTGCCCAGTTCTGAACTGGAATGCCTGCCTAGTTCTAAAATGGAGTGTCTGCCCATTTCTGAACTGGAGTGTGCCTAGTTCTGGAGTTTATACTTAGATCTGAACTCAAGTGTCTGCCTAGTTCTGAAATGGAGTGTCTGCCCAATTATGAACGGGTCATCTTCCTAGTTCCGAAGAGCCATTTCCATCCCTACTGGTAAAACTTGTGTTTTCTGGGCCCTGTTTTGGCCCATCTATCTGATGCGTTTAATTTAAAGTTAGGCGGAAGACGTTTCTCTAGTTACACAGTACATACTACATCGTATACAGGGCGGACGATGACGACATCAGTCCGACATAACTTGTTGGTAACATGGAAGGTGTTAAGGAAAAATGGGTATTAATTTTCTTACCTATTCACTAAATGAATTCGCTCATTTACCTCTGATGTTTTAGTTCATAGCTTAAGATAACTGTCCTCTGAGATATGACTGTGTGAAGTATTGTACATAGGTATCAATGTTTCGGAGGAATTTCCTGCTTCCATCTTCAGCTTTTACTGGTATCGTATCGTAAAATCTTGACAATAATGAAAATGTAACAGATGTGCATACGTATTTCTGACGAGCTGAGCGACTATCAGCTAAGCTGAAGCCCTGAGTGTGCTGACCTCCTCATGGCCGTGACGTCACCACTGGCAGCAGAGAAGAGTAGGTTCACGATGCTGAGACCTTTAGTCTCGTACTTTTGGCGCCTTGGGTCCTTCTTGTTCGAAGCGTGCTTCAGGTTATCGTAACGGTGGAAGTTGAACACATTAACCAGTTCCTGCAAGAGCACAGCGCCTCAGCAATGCTTATCTCGTTACTTCTGCTTCACTAATCCAGATTATCGCTTATCCGGTTAAAATCTGCCCCGCCCCTTATTACTTCGGATTAGCGAGTGTTTACGTTACTCTTATTAATGACTAATGAATTGGAGAGGATGGGGAAAGAAGTGGTCGTGGCCAATTTCAGATAACATTCCAGCATTTACCCGCGAAAAATAACAAATATCTCGGTTAAGATAAAAGGTTTCCCGGCCGAGGACTGAACCCGGGCCTGCCGGATATGAAGCAGGAGCGGTACCCACTGGATTATAACGTAAGGTGACTGTTTTTTGTGAGAACCGCACAAACCCTTAAATACATTCCGGAAGGAATGGATGGGTTCAGAGTTTTGGAATGCTAAAGAAAATGGTACGTATAGAATCCAATTAAAATTTAGTTAAAAGGCGGATAAATCAGTTAGTTTTGAATTATAACAGTGAATATTGGTATGATTTGAAATCGTTAGATTCTAGTTCAGGAAAGAACAATAGTTCTTGTCGTACTGAGAATCCGGACATCAGAAAACACGACATATCTGGAGGATCGGAGTCGCTGGAAGACAACATACTGAACACAGGAAGCCTTGACACGTTACGGGGAGAACTGTCTGAACACAGGAGGCCTTGACACGTTACAGAGAGAACTGTCTGAACAAAGGAGGCCTTGACACGTTACGGGGAGAACTGTCTGAACAGAAGAGATTTTTACACGTTATGGGGAGAACTTGCTGAAGAGAGGGCACCCAGAGGACCTGCCGATGCTCCATCATTCCACATTTGTCAGGAACAGGTCCAGGGAATCTGACTAAGCCCTTCACACGTCATTGTCTACGGACAACGTACGGCGCCAAGGCAGCCAAGAGCTCACCTCACAGAACTGGAGGCCTCTGCAGCTGTTGCCCAGTGGATCCAGGGGCGGAGACCACGCGAAGATGCCCATCACGTTGGGGATGACAAGCAGGATCCCCCCACACACTCCGGACTTGGCAGGCAGCCCCACCTGTGGCACGGTGACAACAGAAATGCAGACGTGAGGGGAGAAATCAACGGACATCTTCCCACAGAATGAAATTTATTAACAGAAGTCTAAGGGCTGGAACACACACAGCGACATCGGTCGTACGACGTCCGTACGGTTCATGCAGCATCAAGTAGTAGAATATAAAGTGTAGTCTTAGCTTTCATACGTGACGACATGCGACATCTACCGTACGGCAGTCGGAGAGCAAAGAAATGTATTTGGTCGCTCTAGTGTGAAAAGGAGGTCGTACGGCAAAAAAATCGTACGACATTTTTCCGTACGACCGATGTCGCTGTGTTTGTTCCAGCCCTAAATACCGTTTCACTGTTGCTTTACTGCAGATATGTCTGTTATCTTGCACGCTGACCGCCATGCAGTTACTTTGCTGCCTGCCACGTGGGATAATGGATTAATTAATGTATTTATTTGGCTCCAAACTAAAACAACGATTATTTTGTTTAATTTATTTGTGTAAAAATCGTTGAGAATTCAACAGAAAGTTTAATCATTTATTATATAAGCTTTCATGTTTCTAACTCTCTTCCCTTCCAGGCCTACACGTGATCTACTGACGTTCTACGTTATCTCCCATGAATAACACGAACAAATAATCAGTCGCAAACCATGTCCTTTATATAGTATAAAACACACAATTTATACATATCAAAACAGTATCAGTACTAACAGAATAGACACGATATACTGACGGAAAAGACTGCTCCCTCGTTCGCGACATACAACGTAGTTTATATGCATGCAGCGTGTTGGCGCTTGGCAACTTGTTGCTATGGTAACCTGAAATTGCGTAATGTCAATAATAAATCTACCGCGTACAAAACGACTATATATATGTATATGGGATGATTATTTAACGACGCTGTGTCGTCAAAATTGTCACAGAGACTTTAAGAACGAATGGTATCACCAGATAATTTAGACCAAATCACAGCTGACTGACGTCACAGAGCCGGACTGAGTGACCTACCTTGAAGGCAAACTGGCCCGAGTAATCATACATGCCACAGCTGTGCATCAGGGACAACACGTCTCGGATTGCCTCCGGTTTCAGCACCTTCTCCTCCGTGATGGGGCAGATCCCGCCGTTGGCCAGAGTGGCCGATATCACTGCCATAGTGTCGCAAGTGGCCTCCATACTGCAGCACTGTAGGGTTCATACAAGTGGTCATGTAAACGGCAACATCTGCGTGGTTTGTTTGGCAACGCTGTCCATGTTCAGACTATATAATATTGAATGATTCTCCTCTGCCTTACCGTGAAGAGGAGGTTTTCGCGCCCCAATTACACGCAGATCTATGCTGGCGGGAGTGTAGGCTCCTGGTAGCGCCACCATGGCAGACAGATTGAAGGGTAGGGGTCAGACGAAAGGTAGTCCCTGGTATTCCAGATTTGAATTTGGGCGTGGGGTTAACGACCCAACACCGGAAAAAAATTACGAAACCATGGAGGATGCCAAGATACAGGGTTGTGGCACCAATAAAAAAAGGAATCGTCAAATAATAGAACTGGTGATTGATGAATTAGAAACGATTTGAATGGAAGTAGTCATGACCTGATTGACGTAATACCCCAGAATTTGCATGGAAGGACTGAGGAAAACCATAAAGAACCTCAGAATAGCCAGTGTCGCACCCCCCAAAATTTTCCAAAATTTCAGCCGACGAGTACTGTGTTCTGGGTTGTAACGCCGTGTAGTCCGGAGAGAACCTGACGTTTCGGAGATAATGTTCTTCATCTTCAGGGCTGAAGTGTAAGCCAAGCAAGACACCAGCAAAAGCAGGCGTCAGTTACTGTGAACCGTGCCCTGAAGATGGAGGACAAATGTTCCTACGAAACGTCGGGCTCACTCCGAACTAAATGGCTTTAAAGCCAAGAAATTAGTGCTCTGATCCGACATCAAGTTTCAACCGTTTGTAAGGCTATCTGTACTTGTCGCTTTGGCCAGGGGTTCCCAAAGTTGGCTGTGGGCCTTTCCGAGCGCCTTGTCCGCTTATTGACGACTGAAGTGACTGTAGGCCACTGTAGCCCTTCCTAAAGCCCATCCGTCACATTAAGATTTTTTTTTTCTTGGAGTGGGGTGAGACTGAGTCCACTTGCTACTGCGGCCACTACTGGCCCACTGTAACAGCCCCGGATGTTAGGTGATGTAGAGCAGTCGGTGGAATGAGAATTGGCAGGGGAAACTGAAGTACTTAGAGAAAAATCTGCCCCAGTGACACTTCGTCCACCACAAATCCCACATGACCTGACATCGGCTCGAACCGGGGCCGCCGCGGTGGGAGGTTGGCGACTAACCGCCTGAGCTATGGGGTAGGACTGGGGATGTATTTATGGAACCAAGGGGGAGGTAGCCCGAAAAGTTTGGGAACCACTGGCCTAGTATGGAATGCTAAATTACTTTAAAGAATAATTTTCTTCTTATGTAAATCTTTTTGAAAATTCAATTGGGGTGGGGGAGGAGCAGGTGGCCAGCTGGCTTCCTCACCTGGAAGTAGAAATCCATACATTCCCTCAAGTTGGTCTTCTCAGGGTAGCACTTGTGTTCCCTCATGAAGAAACCCAGAGCGTAGTTTCGGTCTGCTGACTCTCGTTCGGAGAGGAACACGGAGTTGTTGAACCCTAGATGTTCCCCCCCGGCCAGCCTCTGCAACACAACATATGTCCAAAAGACAGACATTTTTTATTTATCTATGCTACAAGTTGGAAGGTCGCGGGTTCGATTCCTGATGAGGTTATTTAATTTTTTAGTTTTCCTAATCCTTCCAGCCGCACTATGTCCCTGGGTTCGATTCAGCCTCTAACAGGAATGAGTACCAGGAATCTTCCTGGGGGTAAAGGCTGACCTCACCGCCATCTGTGAGCAGATTGTCTAGAAAACGCGGGAGCCTCGACGTCTCACAACCCTATGGGCCTCCATGGCCTGTTACAGGGATACCTTCAGTTTTATTGTTAGTACAGCGGCTAAGGTAAAGGCTGGACAATGGAGGAGTCGGGTTTCGATCCTCGGAAAGGGGGAAGCACATTTTTTCTTCTCCACAGCTACCAGACTACCCCTGGTATCCCTCAACCTCCTATGCACTGGGCATTGCGGCTTAAGTCCCCGGGGGTAAAAGACCCGCGGCGTGAAACTGACCACCGCTGTGAAAACCTCGAACGCAGGAGAGTTCTTGGCTGTGCGTATCTTACCAAATTGTGATGAAGGCCCTGCCCAAGTAGGCAGGTGCGAATGTAGATATCAGACTACTGACCTTGAAGTAGTTCATGGTGAAATCGAACTTCTCTGCAAGATTCATTTCAGGGGTGACCAGTGTCTTGAGCAGCGCGCACACCAAGATGGCCCCAGCGTTGATCATTGGATTGTGAGGCTTCTCTGTGGCAGGAAAGAATGGCTGTGGTTTACTCAACACGGCTGTCAGCACCTACACTAGGGCTATATATCGTCGCATGGGAGGATGACTGATGAATTGGAAGGGATTTGAAAGGAAGTGGTCATGGCGTATTCACAATACCTTCAACGATTTTACCTGAAGGGATTGAGGAAAACCAAGAAAACACCCCATTCAGGTTAGCTTGTGTCTCAGCCGAGATTCGATCCAGGCACCGATTAAAAGCGTCAGCGATTCTTCAACGCTAGAAGCTAAAAGTCGTTAGTAAAAATATTCCAGCATTTTATAGAACAGAAATGTTCATTACCTTGTTCGCAAAAGTTACAATTGTTCCCTATCCTGAGTTACACGAATCCAGTTCACCGTCCCGACTTCTTTCTTTGATATTGTAGCATGCAGACCCGTTGCTAAGTAATGACTCTGTAAATAACGGCAATTGCTAGGTAATGGCTCTAAACATCAACAGAGGAATGGTGTTCTCTAAGTGGTCCGATCGATAGCTGCGTGATGTAACAATTTAAGAACTGTTGGCAGAGGCGTTTTCTATGCTGTCCGTGCCGAAGCTCCATAAGGAGTCGATAGTGGTTGTGAGGACTGGGACAGTGACCCTGCGAGTCGAAAAGTTGACGAAAAGGGAAGTCTCAAATCTGAGACAGTAAAATATGGTCGCAAGTCCCAAGGGACTCGGACCAGAGGAAGACTGCGCTGGCAAGGGCCAGCAGCATATACGAAAGACAGACCCGTCCTCTGGTCAGAGAGGGCGCCCCACAGGAACAAGACCTTAACTGTCAAAAGGTAATAATTAATATCTGGTCATGAGCTCCAGATGGGGCTCGACACCAAGACTTACTGACTGACAGTCAGTCGCAATGTGATTTTGACTTTGCTGAGTTCGGCACTTAGAACCCGGTTAGTTCAGCTCGAGGGCTGTAGTGAGTTAGGCGACAGCCGGAGGGACGTGAAGTCATTTACAAGGAATTTGAGGGACCTACGGCGTTGGAAGCCGTTACCAGGCAACGGCTAGTGAAGACACAGCAGACTGAGAAGATTTAGTAGGTGCTGTGGTGAATTGTGGAGTGTATGAATTAGCGATAGCGCTGCAATTACTTGTAGTTAGGATCTGTAAGTGCCCAATAGATCCAATTACCAATCCAAACCTTGTATAGTCACTCATACAGGTAACAATACAGTTTAATATTATCATCCCGTCAACTTATAGTCGTGCCAAGTAGGCTCTTTGCTGCAGGGTTTTATACCTAATCGTTGTGTGCATTTCTCTTCTTTCTCATGTCCGTTATATCCTTGTCTACTCTCACCCTCCACTTTCGTGAAGAGTACACAATTATGCAGCTCCTTTTCTACCATTACAGTCAAGACCAAAGCGTAGAAGGCACATGAGTACTCACTGTTATAGTCCAGAACTAGCTCGTTGAAATTGCGACCGCTGGGTTCCTGCCCCACGTACTGATGCACTACGTCACTGCCCAGATGATCCAACGCGATGCCGTACATCAGAGGCTTGCTGCAACAGACAAACCCAGATTCATCGTTTACAGACCAACTTTGAATCTTATCTTATCATTATCTTTCCTATGCATTTCTCTTTAATTAATTAATTTATTAGCTTCTTGTTTCATTCTTGCTTGATTCATTCCTAACGAAATTTTAAAAAAATCGCCCAACTGTATATCTGAAACACCTCTGAGTGTACGTCACACCTTCATTAGCCAACTTTACGGAAGAAAAATCCCGTATGTTCGACGACTTTCCCTAATGGCGACTTTGGTTGGTATTTTATGTTATAAATACAATTTATTGATGTTCTAGATATTACGTAACGATCCATGCCACTACTTGATGTTGACGTCAGCATTCACGATATCTGTCCTTATGTAACAACTTGGAGAACAGCTGCACGCATTTGCACAAAATTCGATATTGGAAAGTTTCATCAAATTTTGTCTGTATATTGCAAAAAGTATCCCTGCATCAGACCATGAAGGACATAGGATTGTGAGACGTTGAGGCTCCCACATTTTCTAGATAATCGGCTCACAGATGGCGGTAAGGTTGTCAGTCTTACGCGCCGGTCGCCCTTTACCCCCAAGAATATTCCTTGTACTCATTTCTGTCAGAGGCTGAGTCGACCCCAGAGCCGTAATGCGGCTGGAATGATTAGGGCAATTGCAAAAAAAAAAAAATCAACCTCATCGGTTGATGAGGTGCCTCAAGCATCCACGCTGCCGCGTTCCCCGAAATTCTGGCTAAAATCAAACAATGATAACAAGACCTATGAGCGACGTCACAGCAAGTTCCTCTACTTGTGGTTGCTTACCTGAAACTCAGAACATTTCATAATAATTTTTTTTGCAATATTTATAAGCGTAACTATCCAATGGGTACAAGGGATTTTTTCCCCCGGGGGCAAAGCGGGAGGAGAGTGAAGCTGACTGCTCATCTCCAAGAAAACTTGGATCTATACATCCACTTCCCATACCCCTTCATGGTGTAGTGTTTAATTAGTTAAGCACAGGGATAACTTTACATTTTAACCAATGAATGCAAATTAAAACGTGAAAAAGGTATTGTTCTTACAAAAGGTCACAAACACAGCCATCACTCACAATACCTGCTACATGGGGAACTAAAATTCTGTTTTCCTTTTGCAAAAGTAGGGGGAAAGACGGTAGTACGCATGCTCAGTCTTTCCGCCCGCCCTCGTGCGCCATTTTGTAGCGGCGCTCATGCATGTAGTTGCAGTGGCGTGGCGTGGCGTGCTACGGGCTGAACATAGCGATATTCTTGCCTTTACCTTCCTTACCTGCAGGACTGGAGTGTGAAGGGGATGTTGACGTCACCGATTGAGAATCTCTGCCCGTCGATGGTGCAGACGCTGATGCCCCAGTAGTCAGGATTCATGCGGGCGAGTTGGGGGATGTAGGCGGCTACCTGGAACAGCGTCGGAACAGAACAGCTGACAAACTTGTGTCCAGATAACCAGAGCCCTGTCTCTTCTGGGACAGGGGGGATTGGTCGGGAAGATTAACCGCCAGCAGAACCTTAAATGTAGCTATCAGTAGGAGTCGCACGAACATAATATATATGTGAGATCTGAACTCGTGTCCCCAGCGTTCGGCGGACTTCACACGTGCCGCCACTGGATTCAATTAGAAAGTAGTGCGTACACAGAGGCCACAAGATGTTGTCCTATGGCTCGATACCCTCCATATTACCCTCGAGCTGCACGAAGTTCCTCTAAAAAGTTAATACACATCTACCAAACTATACGGCGTCACACATCAGACTACCGTAATCTTGATAGAGTAATGACAGCCGAAATACCTTATAAACGTATTGTATTGTATTGTATTGTATTGTATTGTATTGGAGAGGGTGGGTTTCCCCATGCACTTAGACCAACTGTTGGTCCATTATGCGTCCCCCTAAGATATTCTACCAGTCTCTATTCCCTACCGGTACTGGTGCGTGCCATCAGTCCCGACTCAGCCAGCGAGTTCGGCCTCTACTGGCTCAGCGGTATCTCGATGCTTCCCTCATCTACCAGAGGCGTTAGAGACTACTGTTGGGCGGGAAACGTCCTGAATTTGGCTCAGAGGTCCCCTTGAGACATGAGGTCCTTTTACGTGCCGTAAAGCTACGACACGGGACCCACGGCTTAAAGTCCTCCCGGAGGACTTGTTCCCTGAATTTTTCGCCCTTAAAAATTCCACGACCTCCGCCGGGTTTCAACCCACGAGGTGGGAATATTACCCCTAGACTACGGAGGCCGCTACTTTATAAACTAAGTAAGAATCATCTGTCTTCTCGATAGTTGTATCTCACCCTTACATTTTTAAAAAAGAATTGTATATACACTGTTTCTTGTTTCCCAGTTTGTGTAATAACTCTTCCAGCCCATTCAGGGCCCTGGTCTCTTATTAGTTCCATAATCATTTTCCACAGTAGCTAGGACTCCTTGGAGAGTGATCAGCCTGTCATAATGTCGCTACCTAAACACAGAATAAACGCATACACACACCAAACATACATCCCTTGAATGGGATTCGAACCCACGATCCCAGCGTATGAACAAGCGAAAATAGTTCCTGCTTTAGACCGCGCAGCTACTGTGACCGGCCGTTTCCACCATACCCACAATAATGTCACAAATATCCATCTTTACCGTGTCGGCGAATTTTATGAAGCATTTAGCGTGCTCGACAGTCTCTCACCTTGCCCTCTGTGTTGGATTTGCACTTCCAGTAGAAGTCCTCGATGTGTTTCGTGAAGCCCTGGAAATCCGGGATGATGAACTGGTGCCGAAAAGCTCGCGATATGAGAACCACGTTAGAAGAGACCACACTGAAATCACACATTCATCCACTCGCATCACTCCTCACATGTCTCAGTAAGTGAATGTACTGTACCACTATTTTGTCGTGGCCGCAGAGTTGCGCATAAGGGGAAATAGGATGGATGCTGCGTAAAATCTGTAGCAGTAAATCGTTAAGATCATAGATCACGAGCTAAATTGAATAAAAAGAGTACAATTTCCTGAAAAAGGACATTTCAAAGAGAATAAAAGTGATATTCGCACTGTCAGATATTAATTACACTTATTGCCTGATATAGTACGATTATTTTGTCGTGACTACTGAGTTGCGCATGACAGAAAGAAGTTACGGGATGTGAAGTCCGTTTGAAGAAGTATCCTAACTAAATTATCTTTACTTATAAATAAAGTTTGATAAGTAAATAACCGTCACTTATGGAACATTCTACAAAATGAACCAGTTTTCTTTCTAACCTTCTAAAAGTTTCTCTGTTGAGTTTCTGCGTCTCGGGTGATCCACCTTCATGGCCGCTTTTCTTGTGCACCTCCCGAAGTTTTTCCATCAACTCGGCCAAACGAGGGTCCGTTTTCCTCAGTCCCGTACTACGTAGTGCCTGCATAAAACAACGCATTCTCCTTAATGTTCTCACGAAAAGTGAAACAACTAGAACTGACCACGAAAATGTTCGCTGATATCACAGATGAACTGAGTCGCACCTCGCAGAAATTCTGTGCTTAAACATCTCTGGGATTGCGCCAAAATGAGAAAGCGATGCAGACCAGCACTAAGTTCCATTTCCAACATAAGATGGGCCCCAAAATCACCGCACCAAATGTCTCAATGAATACGAAGGAGTTCTCAAGGTATATCGTACCCTCAAAAATTGTTTCTAACAATGTTTCCCCCTAAAGAAAACTTCGGCGTGTTGAATAGGTTAGATAAACCAAGTCAAAATTTTCGTGCGTATCCTAGCAAAATAAATAACATTTCTCAGTCAGTATAGCGACTGGACTACGGGCTTGACTGCCAGGATTCAATTCCCGACAGGGGCAAACTTTCTTTTCTCTTCTCAACAGCGTCCATACCGGCTCTGGGGCTCACCCAGTCACCTATAAAACGTGTACCGGAATATGCAGATGTTTTCTTTCATATTTTTAGTCCGTAGCTGACGGACCTGTTTCATCCACCTGATGGCTAGCGTTACAAATTCAGCGCTGTCCTAAACATTTCTAATTTTGGAGAGAATTATCTCTTCAACCAGCAAGATTTAAGCAGTAAGCAGAATTCTATTTAATGCTTATTTGGTTTACTTTATACATTGAAAATGGAAGCAATACTTTCCTTCGAAACGTTGGCCAACTTCTACCGGACTACATGACGTCATATCCAAGACTATAGAAAATGGCTGTAACTTCGTTGCTATATATTTTCATGGCAACTCAGTAAATTTACTTTTAAAGTATCAAAAATATTTAGTATGAAATTCCGAAATATACAAGGAAAGGTATTACTTCATTAACTTTTAATAACATACTTTAGGTTAAGTTAATATTCTTCTGAACGTGTTCTGTCGTTTTAAGCGTTTAGAATGTCAATACAACCCAAGATACTCACTGACAGGAACATGCCAATTGGCAGTATGTCTGTTTCCTCATTTCTGAACATGTCGAAGAGGACGTCTTCGGTGCTGGAAGGATTGTGAGCCGTTTCCTGGTCGCGGGCACTGAAAAAGAAACATACCACGCGTTATGGCTCCATTACATCACAGGAAACACTTTCCAAACTACAAATACTTTCGAGGATACAATTTACCAAAAGAATGAAGATGTTTCATATTCTGTCCAGTCTAACATGGCTACGTAGAGGTTACAACAATAATCTTCACTGAGAACTAGGCAACTAATAAGATTCATGCAACTCTGCCATCTGTATTCAGCTTTAATGATAGGATCTGATAGTGTTCGTCGGCTATAAATACGCAATTGTTCTTGCTGAAGAGGCTACTAGAAGTACTTTTATTGGATGTAATTACTCTCAACAGCATTTATTGACATGCCAACATAAGTCTACAATCATATAAATCATTTTTAGGTTAAGTAACATGCTTTGTGTTGACCCTCTTGTAGGAACATAACTGTTACATAAAGTTTGCCTACATATAAAGTGTAAATGGAGTCTATACTAAGGCCACGGAAAGCTGTTCCGAGGATCTACCCCCTCCACATCTCCCTCGAGTTGTCACGCTTCCCCCTCCAACGTAATTCACTCCAGTCGTACAGCCATTCTTTTCATTCCACTGTCCGTAAACTGTGTCTACATCCGTCAGGTTTCGTCATCACCAGGTAGTGACGTAATTTGATACGTCATCGTTACAGATTTATTAGTTTATTTTTATACATATGACGAGAGGAACCTGGATAGCTCAGTCGGTATAACTATGAGCTGCACGGTCGGGATTCGTTTCCCGGAAGGGGCAAGAGATTTTTCTCTACTCCACAGCGTCCAGACCGGCTCTGGGGCTCACCTAGCCTCCTGCACATTAGATACAGGGTGTTCCTTCCCCGGGAGTAAAGCGGACGGGGCGTGAAATTGGTCACTCACCTCAATCTATCGCCAAAGTCAAGAATGATGAAGCTATATCTGCACTTCCACATACATCTACATTGCGTCGTGCTTAACTAATTAAGCACAGAGAAACTGTTTTTTACGGGGAACGGGGTGCATTCAGGCTCGTGAGGATAATTGAGGAGCTATTTCAAGGAAATAGCGGCTCCGGTCTATAAAACCGAAATTAAAGTTGGCCGTGGGGAGTCGTTGCGCTGGCCACACGACACCCTCAATCCGCTAAAGTTGGCACTAAACTTCGCCGACAAGCGGCGGTCGCTCGGTCGGCATACTTCGCTTGCGGACTAAAACCACGGAGTTTGTTATTTTGTTGTGATAGACTTCGCTAGAGACGAGCACTTTGTGCTGGTTTACATAGGCCAGAAGGGCTGGAGAGGAATACAAATAGACAGAAGATGGGAAACTCTCGAACGCCGTGAATTCCACCAGCCAATCCATTGGACTTCTTTTTGTGGCCTTAGTACAGATGTTCTTTCCATTAGATCGCGTCCCCTGATTGAATTGTTGCTCGAGAGCATATTACTTACACGTGGGCGTAACTCGCATCGTGGACGAAAGCAAGTCCCCTTAGCAGCATTGCAGAAGAAAAGGTGATAGATGTTAGTAACATGGCAGCTCTTGGCTAGACCTCTCGCCGTTATCTGTGTGCCCTCAAGTCTTGTGACACGGGACAATGACATAACCCCATCGACATATTTGGACGGGTGAAGAACGTCACCGGACTAAAGTTGAAGTAGTTCATATGTTGGACAACAGAATGCAGTGGCCTTCTATGAACGATTTGTGATAATGCTAAGACATTTTTTTTAATATGAGTATATGGTCGGATTTTATAAAGACATTTTAAGTAAAAATATATTATACATTACGCTAATGCACTCGGTGTCCTGAACACACAACAGATATGGCAAGAAGTCTAAAGAAAGTAAACAGTTATCGAAATAATTCAATCTGTGGGTCGCAACCCCCAGGGGTTCATTAGGTTTTCAAGAATTACTCGAAATATATTTGTATCATGGCACAGTTTCGAAAACTTGGTAAGAGTTATTGTAAATGCTTTCGTAAAATGTAGTTGCGGTCGACGTAACATTTCGTGAACGTTTTCGTAACTGTACAGGAACATTTTATAGCTTACTGTAGGTGCAGAGAGGCTGTAAAGCTATTTAGGTTCCTGCTGTCACCGTACAGCCTGATAGGGACCTGCAACAGTGTCCAGAACTGCACTTTTCGTGACTGTACAGGAACATTTTATAGCTTACTGTAGGTGCAGAGAGGCTGTAAAGCTATTTAGGTTCCTGCTGTCACCGTACAGCCTGATAGGGACCTGCAACAGTGTCCAGAACTGCACTTTTCGTGACTGTACAGGAACATTTTATAGCTTACTGTAGGTGCAGAGAGGCTGTAAAGCTATTTAGGTTCCTGCTGTCACCGTACAGCCTGATAGGGACCTGCAACAGTGTCCAGAACTGCACTTTTCGTGACTGTACAGGAACATTTTATAGCTTACTGTAGGTGCAGAGAGGCTGTAAAGCTATTTAGGTTCCTGCTGTCACCGTACAGCCTGATAGGGACCTGCAACAGTGTCCAGAACTGCACTTTTCGTGACTGTACAGGAACATTTTATAGCTTACTGTAGGTGCAGAGAGGCTGTAAAGCTATTTAGGTTCCTGCTGTCACCGTACAGCCTGATAGGGACCTGCAACAGTGTCCAGAACTGCACTTTTCGTGACTGTACAGGAACATTTTATAGCTTACTGTAGGTGTAGAGAGGCTGTAAAGCTATTTAGGTTTCTCCTGTCACAGTACAGCCTTATGAAGACCCGAAAGTGTCTTCTTACGCGAATACACGTATATATTCTCTGAAGACATCGAGCCAAGTTTTTTTGGCCAGCGCGAAAGATTTTCGGTTCATTTCAAGCCCGAAGACTTCTCGATGTCTCTGAATCACTAACACCAACCTTAGTGCGTTGCAACCCCGGTCTTTTCCAGTGACTTCACATTACACATGCCAGTTGTCGACAACCACATGTATCCGTCGGAGACTTTAACCACAGATTTCTCTGCCGCGGTTCGAGTCTCTGCACAGCCATTTGTCGACTTTCCCACTTACCTCCGACTCTCACGAGTTCCTGCACTGCGTCTCTTCCTGAACTCGTCCTCGGGCGTGAACATCTGTGCAACTGCTGCTTTGTGTGGAACTGATTCCACCTGCAAGACAAAGAACTTGTTTGAAAGCATTGTCAACCCACCCCTACACTTTCGAAATAATAACAATAAAAGACGAAAAGTAAATATATGAAGGAGATTCAGTAAATAGGACACAAATAGAAGTAAAACAGCTGTAATGGGCGTAATATGTTTTCTATGTATATCACTAGGTAGCAGCACAGTCCAGCTTAATCACAGTCTAGGTACCAGGTGCGCATGCGCATATTCAGTGGCTGGTTTCAGCAGTCAAAATGGCGACCGTGCTTCAGGAATGTTCTATAGAAGAGTTACTTTCTGTTATGCGTTTTTCTGTGGTTAAAGAGACTCATCGCAAAGGATGTTAATAAAGAAACATTTTCTGTTTACGGTGGGAAGTGTTTGTCGCGTAAAGCGGTTCAAATCTTGGTCGAAAAATTCCTTCAAGGGCGTTCAAAAGTTGCAGATGATGCCCGATCAGGTGCGGAAGTTGCTGAGACAGCAGTCAGAAGACTTCTGTGCTGTAGGTTTCGACGCGATGGGACAAGAGTATCAATATTGGTGGAGGATATGTCGAGAAATAAATGTTTTCTTCCAGGTTAGAATATCGCATGTTTTACGTTTTATATCAACTTGTTACCTATTTACTGAGTCTCCCTCGTACCTAATATTAACAATTAAAATATGATATTCTGTCTTGAATACTCTGCGTAAGCAAATGTAAAGTTGTCCCGGCTCTTAATTAAGCCTGATGCTATGAAGACGAATGGGGAATTGAGGTATAGATAGACATAGGCATGCTTAACCTCGGCATTAGTGGAGCTCATACTGGCCGTTTTATGCCCCCGGAAATACTCGTAGCTCCCGGAACCCGTTAGTTACGAAGCTTGGTGGATTCTAGACCTGGTCTAGACGCCATAAAGAAGGGAAAAATTTTCTGTCCCTACCGAGAGTCTAACCCAGACCCCTCTGTCTTCCAGCCCGTAATCTATTCACTATATTGACTGAACTATCCCGGTTCCTTAGAGTAGAATGTACACATTATAAAATGTCGAAGAGAGAGGAACGCATTTCAAAACATCTGGATACACGAATAATTTTACAGGTTGTAACGCCGTGCAGATCGGCGTGAGCCCGACGTTTCGGAGGAACACATCGCCTCCATCCTCAGCCTTGCTTTCTTCTTCTACTGATTTCTTTCGTTGTATTTCAACTATGGAGGTGATATGTTCCTCCGAAACGTCGTGGTGTCTCTTAACCACATGGTATCATAACCCAAAGGATCTACCCTTCACAGTCACAGCTGTGAGAGTCTCGAACTCAGCCCGTCAACATGCACCCGCCAATAAGCTTATTATATTTGTTGTGTTGTTGCTCGGGACGACTTGGAGAAGCTATCCGAGATCTTTTAAGATCAATTAGCATTTGTTTGGCAGCTTTCGCGAAGTGAATTTAATTTAATGTCAGAAAGCTACGAGATATGGTACTGAACTTGAAACACCTTCTTACAGTTAGCAACGTATGTCGAGCTCTAGGCTTGCTTACTCTTATGTGAAATAAAGAAATTTACATTTACGTGACTTACACCAGATGACACGATGATTACAATCACCGTATCATCACGTCTCCTTCCCGCAGCTGCTGTATTTATCACAAGTCGGTGAATATAAGGGTTTAAACGAGATGTAGTCAAACTATGGCTGGCGAGACACATGCGGATCGTTCAGCTGCGGCTCTCGTAGAATACGAGAAGATATTGTAATCGTGAAAAATACCAGTCTCGATATTTTAATGGATTTACATTATTTTCTTATAAAAAAAAGGTAAATCTGTCCCTGTAACAGGCCGTGGAGGCTCATAGGGTTGTGAGATGTTGAGGTTCCTATATTTACTAAGACAATTGGTTCATAGATGTAGGTGAGGTTGTCAGCCTCACGTGCCGGCCGCCTTTTACCCCCAGGAAGATTCCTGGTACTCATTTCTGTTAGAGGCTGAGTCGACTCCAGGGCCATAGTGCGGCTGGAAGGATTAGGTAACTGAAATATCGAACGATCTTTTCGGGAATCTAACCTGTGACCTTCCGGCTTGTAGCATAGTGCCTGAACCAACTACGCTACCGCGTGCCCCAACATGGCTTCCATCTACTGCCGAGGTTGAGAATGGGTGCAGCTACACCGTCACTCCCTGATATATTTTCATGGTGTGGCGTGATAACTTTATATTTTACAAACGTAATNAACACCACATATACACGGTGCCAAACCCCAGAAGACTGCTTTCTTCCTAATTTACATTTGTCTGACGTCCTTATGTGTGGATTTGAAATTGCAGGTTGGTGGTGTTGATGTTGGTAGTAATTTTGTGTACATGCATACAAGAAGAAGAAAAAATAGAGGTCTCCTTTCCATTATGCGTTTTATTTATTATCTTTGTACCAAGATTACAAAGGAGTAAAAAGTGTTTCAACATAAATTTATCCTCGGATATTTACTATACTTTTAATTTAATTTCTTTGTACTACGAGGAGTTCTTAAGTTTAATAAGATTTGGACTTGGGACACGAGCTTAACTCACAAGAAAAGAAATAGAAAGACATCTCGCTCAGTAGCACTGCTGTGTTGTATTTTTGGGGGGTGTACAGTTCGAATCTTGTCCAGGATTTCGGCTGTCCTGACTGAGGATGTTCGTGGTTTTGCTCAGTCCCTATAGACGAAAGACGTAACAGTGTCTCGACATAGGCCACTACCCCTCCCTCCCACATCCGGTTATTCAACGGTATACAAACCTGGTTCCTGACGATGCCGGTAAACTACAAATAAATATGAAGAATGCTGCCTTCTGGGATGTTGCGCAGTGTAGACATAGTATAAAACAATGTTTCGGAGGAAAATTTCGCATCCATCTTCAGGGTAAAAAAAGAAAAAATCCACGAACGAGGAACCAGCTCGAGCAGGTGGCTGCGCAGAAGACGGCATTCTTCATAGTCACCGACGTGGAAACCTCAGCTCTTACCAACAAATAAATAAGATAATATCCCAAATTCAGGAATAGATCAATGAATAATATAGAGAGAGAAAAGAAAAATAATTCAAGCCAGATAGGCCCACGTCAGTTTATATATAATTCGTTTTACAGTGGAATGATTTTCATCAAAATGAAGCTGAAACAATGTTAACATCTTGTAAAAATACACGGTTGCTCCTTCCCGTATCCTTCCCAATCCATTCTGCATTATTCGACTCCATAATCTAGAGTCTGACGGCATCCTAAACCATCCCACAAAAGAGAGAACATTGGAAAGGCAGTCAATCATATTTGATCTTCATTTATTTTCACTTTATGCATTGCTCGGTATTTATAGGGTTAATCTGCAGGAATTGTTTCCGGGAGCACAACTGGACTCAAAGACAGTGAAAATGAACAAGTCTCCATTTACCTCCATAATGAAAATGAATTATAACTTCCCGTATGTTAATTAACCGAATAAATTTAAACAAGAACACAACAAAAGTCTATATTTAGCGCGTCTGGGTCATCATGTTTACTTGCGGACCAATTGCCTTCAACTGTTCACGGTGCCCGTGTCCAGACACCGGCTCATTATCGATCATCGCAAATGTCTCGATCGTCTCGATACTCAAAACAACAACCGACTGGCGTTAATTGTTTGTAGGTGTCATGTAAATATTTTAAAACTCTATTCTTACCTTCCCGAAAACACGGCCGCACCAAAACAACGACCAGACGGTGCAATGATTTTTTGTGAGGAAAAATCAGTTTGTTTTTAAAACAAAATTACTCCTACGGATAACTCTGTGGGTGTTGTGTCATGTTATTTAACGTTAAAATATTCGGTACACACCGTTACCGCCGTCACAGAAGGGGCTGATACTGACAAATGAGAATGGAACATGTTTATAAATAGTTCCACTCCATAACAACTTTGTTAAAGCGACCATGTTCTGAAATTAGCAGACAAATTGCTAAGGTCAACAATGACATTAGTGTCAACATATATGGATGCAGTTCTCTATTTATAGTTAAGGACGCCATCTTAAGTGCACAGATTACAAAATGTCGGATGATTACTAACGATGAATCGAAAGGATTTTGAAAGAAGCAGTCGTTATTCCAGAATTTTCATGGACGGACGTAGGAAAATCAAGGAAATTATGACTTAAGGCGGGTTTAGACGGTCTCTCTTCATACCTCATGAGGCGAGGAGGAGCATCGGGTACTGCATGGCCTTTTCTCTCTCTCTCCCCAAGAAAGAGAGGGAGAGGCAAAGTAACGCACGTATTTCCAGCCGGAAGTGGGTATCTCTCGCCTCTTCGCTTGCAAATACTGCACTTCCGTGCCATTCTTGCAGTGTAAAAAAGTATAACTACAACCGTAACAGACCATGGAGTTCCCATAGGGTTGTGAGACGTCGAGGCTCCCACACTTTGTCTAGAAAATCGGCTCACAGATGGCGATGAGGTTGTCAGCCTTACGCATTGGCTACCCTTTACACCCAGGAACATTCCTGGTACTCATTTCTGTTAGAGGCTGAGTCGACCCCAGGGCCATAGTGCGGCTGGAAGGATTAGGTCAATTGAAAAAAATCCAATGACCTCACCCGGATTCGATCCCGCGACCTTGTAGGATAGTGCCTCAACCAACTACGTTACCGCGTGCCCCATACATCTGGCATGAGTGTAATGAAATGAGTAATTAGCATCAAAGGTCGCTGGATTTTTCAGTTGACCTAATCCTTTCAGCCGCACTGTTGTCCTGTGGTCGTATTAGCCTCTGACACAAATCTTCCTAAGAGAAAAGGGCGGCCGACATCTAACGCTGACAACCGCACGGCCATCAACCTCACCACGAGCCTATTGTCTATATAATGTGGGAGTCACGACGGTTCACAATCCTGTGGACCTCCACGGTCTGTTGCAGGGATAGATTTAACAGCAGCAAGCAGTACTGTACTAAATGTCCCCTGGTAGTGAGAGTTTCTTCTGTCTGCGGGACACTGCAGAAGTTCAGCCTTCCCGTCGATGAATCCTAAACATTAGTGGAAGTTCCATTTGCCATTAAAATCCTTAAAGGCCGTCAGCCATTCTTCCTAAACAAAAAGTGAGGACAACATACATACAGCACGCCCTACGAGTCCTAAACAGAGTGACTAGTGAAAAGGGCAACGGCCGGGTAGACAGACGAACACAATGGGAACAAGAATAATAACTCAAAATCTCCTGCAGACTTTTTTTGGTGAAATTCTTTAAAAGCAGACAATTATTTAAAGCGTACTTCTTGCAGTGTGTCTATTTTGTTACGTCGCTTCAAAAATTAACTCCCTCAAAACTTTCGTCTTATTTCCTGCTTCCTTGTAGACATTTTTCAAGAAGCACTCAAGTTATGGTTCTGTCATCTAAACAGAAATAGGCATGCCCCTGGAGTCATGACTCATATATGAGGGAGAGTCAGTAAATAGGTTACAAATGGAAATATAGCTCAAAACATGTGATATTCGAACCTGGGAAAAACATGTATTTCTCGACATATCCTCCACCAATATTGATACACTTGTCTCATCGCTTTACCGGTGCTTCGAAACCCGCACCACAGAAGTTTTTTGACTGTTCTCTCAGTCACTTCCGCGCCTTTGTTTCATCATCTGCGACTTCCGAACGTTCTTCAGAGAATTTCTCGATCCAGTTGTGAACCACTTTACGCCACAAACACTTCCTACCGTAAACAGGAAACATTTCTTTTCTAATATTATTTGCATTAAGTCCTTCTGCCCACAAAAACGCACAAGAGAACGCCGGTCTTCGGTAGTATACGCCTCAATCACGGTCGTCATTTTGACTACTGAAACCAGCCTCTGAACATGCGAGTCTGCTACCTAGGTTGTCATGAAGCTGTACTATGCTGCTACCTAGTAATACAAATAGAAAACCTGTCACGTCTGTCACAGCTGTTTTACTTCCATTTGTGACGTATTTACTGACTGTCTCTCGTATTTCCCGAGATATGAAGTTTTGATTGCGTGTTGCATGTAATAGTGGTAAAGAAAAGGCGCAGCCTAAACCCGCCTTTATAGCTGGTCTCCGGGTCAGAGGGCTTATCTCGTCATTTGCGTGAGTCTCTCCTCATTGTCAGGCCTACAGCTTACCAGACATTACTAGGTGATCAAGCATGGCATGTAGCACGGACGGGGAGAACAAATTCGTACATAGTTTTTGGTAGGGAAACTGAAGATAGAGACCACTTTGGAGACCTTGGCATAAATGGAAGGATAACATTGAAACAGTTCATAAAGAGATAGGGTGGAAGATGTGGAGACGTCAGGATTTTTTCAAAAGTGAGGAACCAGAAAATTTACTCGAAAACTTAATTTTAAGCCATAAGCCGGAAGGTCGCGGGTTCAAGTCCCGATGAGGTCATTGGATTTATTTTCAGTTGGCGTAATCCTTCTATCAGCACTATAGTCCTGGGATCGACTCAGCCTCTAACAGAAATGAGTACCAGGAATTAATTAAATATTTTTCCTGGGGGGGGGGTTAAAGGCGGCCGGTGCGTAAGGCTGACAAACTCACCGCCATCTTTGAGCCGATTGTCTAGATAATGTGGGACCCTCAACATCTCACAACCCTATGAGCCTCCACGGAATGTTACAGGGATAACTTTACTTTTAATTTTTAAGGGTAATTTTACTGATCATTCTCGGGCATCCAAGGTAGAACACATTTTTAGAAACAAATTTAATTACTGGCATTAATAATTGATAGATTTTCTTCATGTTTCTTTATTTCTATTTTTCAAAACTCCTTAATGGCAGAAGATGCTTGGCTTTCCATTCTGAAGGCGCCTCTTATGGAACAGATTATATGAAATTACTCTATAATGGTGTCATCTTTGGAGAACTGTTAATACCTAATTTTGTTGTGAATTTAGAGTGTTTTGCCACGAAATACGGCACAATAAAAAACTGGATAGGTTTGCCATACAGACTACAGAATTTGGACGAAATTTTTCGCTGTCTGGTGTTGGCTATATATCAAAAAGTTACCCATAACAACTGGCGCCAGCTGTCCGCATTGTTCCAGTACTACATGTTCGACAGAGACATCTGTTATCTACTGCTGCATATTTGTTAGTGTCCTTTCTTAACTTGCGTGATGCTGAAAGACGCAAACTGCACTCATTTCGTTCGCAAGAAGGCTTCTTATATCTGACTTCATGTATTTCAGAGCTCAAGATAATCCAATGTTGTGCTTTCTTGTGGATGTATTTATGCAGATAACTACAGTTCTTCATTAGTTGGGGTAGATACATAAATTGAGAGCAAAATTATATTTTATGGAAATTAATTACGCCTCGAACTGTTGAAATGTTAATAGGCTCCACATGTTAACATGGTCAAACCCTTTCATGGGGTTGACCCATGGTCAAATCCCGTGACAAACATATTTCTGGTGACAATAGCTTTACATCCCTGTTAAACCCTATCTAATTAGAATTACAGATTTAATTTTAAACGTATTTCTATACGCTGTGATTGACTTATATTTGCAAAATGCATGGGAAAATGTCATTACAGTGTAAAATATATTTCTGTTGATGGGTCTGTGAACAGTGTATATGTTTATTTAGGCTTATTTAACGACACTGTCTGAGGAATTCGCACTGTGCGTCAAATCACAGTTTGATTATTGAATAATGAATTTTAAAAGACGTGGAAATATTTGCTATCTAATTTGAAGCATTTTCCTGAAGAAACTGAGGAAAAGTACGAAAAACAGTCGCGATAGACGAGCTGTGGGTCTGAATTTGAATACAGCTCCCCCCCACAAGTCGAACTATCAATCCGGAAAATGGTTGTTTTAATTTGGGGGTTACTTTGGAACACTTTAGCATCTACTCTATATAGCGTCGAATGGTAAGGATGAATGTTGACTTAGGATTTGGAAAGAAGGGGTTACGACCCAATCGACGAAATATTAGAGGATTTTCCAAGAAGGACTGAGGAAAATCGCGAAAAACCTTCGTCATGATAACCGATATCGCGGCCCAAATTCGAACCGAGTACCTCCCGAATAGAAATACAGAGCGTTACCGTTATACCAGTCCGTTCGGTGGTTGCTAATGTCGTTATAAATAAATAAACAGTAATTTATTTCGCATTGCGTTGGACTGGAGAACGAGTACGTTATTTCACATAAGACTCCACGCCCTCGGTATCTGCATGATTTAATCATTTGCATGCCGCGTGACAACTAATTGGACTCACCTGTGTCGTATGCATTCCAACTTCATTTCTCTGTGTCCAGTGCCTGAGTATCGATGGCTTTGCTCTTGATGTCACTATCCGAGTAGATGACAACTGAAGGCCATAACCGGCGACTCGCATCCCCAGTCTGGACGCGCCGTTACTGGCCAACATGACTTATGTAACACGTTTCTTGCGCGAGGAGCAACTTAACAGGACATCTTACTTATTATATAGGTCTCACCCACCCACACTTGAGGCCCATTTCCGCATATCTTACGTTGTTCTGCAAAACTGCACAGTTCCCGCGCACGCGCCCCCACTTCTGGCGCAGGAAATGAGAAATAAACGTTAGCAGCATGGAGGAACGGCGCATGTGTGGAAGCGGTAGGTGATCAATTGATTGAGACTAGAGAACACTGAACATTTCGTGTATGACTGTCCCAGAACGAACCCATGGGTCGAATAGCATACGGGCTGAACAAGATGCTCCTTGCTTACGGCTGTAGATGCAGATCTGAACAGACTTGACTGTTCTTTTTCCCGTACCCAGAGGGAAATACTCCAAGACACTTTTGGGGGACCTTATCTAATAACGGTGTTAAGTATCTCAGACTGTATAACGTCGAATTTTATATATTCGATGAATAATTAATTGGAAAGAATTTCGAAGGAAAAGTTGTGGCCGAACAAAGGTACTATTATCACATTTGACTGAAGAGACTAAGGAAAACCATTAAAACTTCTGTTAATATAGCTGATTTACTGGCACAGAATTGCGCGTCTCACTAATATAGGTCTAGAATATTATTCTGTTAGGAATATGTATTGATATGCCGCATGTAAGAGTTTAGGGTGCCGGTCACGGTAGCCGAGCGGTCTAAGGCATGAACTGTCTTCGCTCGCTCGCAAGCCGGGATCGTGTGTTCGAATCTCACTCAGGGCGTGGATGTTTAGTTTGTGTATGTGCGTTTTTCTGTGTTTGTGTACAGGTAGAGAGGCCTTGCGACGAGCTGATCACCCGCCCAAGGTGTCCTACCGAATGTGTAAGATCTAGGAAGACCGAAGTGAACGGAGAAGTTCATGGAGGTAGGCCTAGGCTCACTGGGGCTGTAGTGCCAAGGGGAAGGGTTGAGGGCATTTTTTAATTAAGCACAAGGATAACATTATCTTCTGCTCGTGTAACAATTCAACATTAACTGGCAACAAGTCAACTCAAATTATTTGGAACTTTTGCGATAACATCATTTTCCATTTCCATGACATCCAAACCGGCTCTGGGACCCACCCAGCCTCCTATTTAATGTGCACTGGGGGTAGTTTCCCGGAGTTAAAACGGCAGGGGCATGAAACTGATCACTCACCTCCATCTAGGGCCAAGGTTAAAAATGGTAGAGCTGTATCTCCACTGCATGTTTTCATTTTTATATTGGTTCGAAAGCCATTTGGTAGGGACAGACGGGCAATTGATATTATGGGGCTATTGTTCCTTGGAACTTAGACAGAAGCCAGGGAACTTCGTGAATAATGAACTAGAAAGGACGTGGAAGGAACTAGTCATGGTTTAATTTGAGGAACTATCCTGACCGAAATTCAAACCAGGCAATTTCAAATATGACCCAGAATCTTCACCCCTTGAGCCAACTTGCTTGGTTTTATAACCATTCATTATAATTGGGCACATTAATTATAATGTTTCACTGAGACTACTAAATTGTACGCTCGCTGCGTCATAAGTTTGGATTATGGAGATATTGAGAACGCGACACAGGCTCATTCTTGCTGTGTGAACAGGATGTAGCCACCACAGCTTTTGCTAGAAATGTTAGCTGCCCTAACATGATTGTACAGCTTCGCTAACCTGATATTTGACATCTAAGGCAAGCAATAAACCAAAAGCAAGTTGGTCCAATACCCACATTAAGCTTATTATTAGGCTGCGCCATAGCTCAAGCGGTTAGTCGCTGAGTTCCCACCGCGGCGGCCCGGGTTCGATCCCGGGTCTGGTCAAGTGGGATTTGTGGTGGACAAAGTGGCGCTTGGGCAGGTTTTCTCCGAGTACTTCGGTTTCCCCTGCCAATCTTCATTCCACCAATTGCTCCACAATCACCCTCACCTATCATCTGGGGCTGGTACAATAGGCCAGAAGTGGCCACAGTACAAGGGACTGAGTCCCACCCCAATAGGAATAAAAAAAAGTTACTAACAACAGAGGGCCTAAACGGCTGTAGTTTCTTTGGGTTAAAGCATTTGGTATGCATAACATCCACTGGGTTAAGCAGCGGACTCTTTCAAAATAACGAGACGTTGCCAGATTATGCACTGTATTACTGTTGATATCTCCTTACAGACTGTTACAGCAGCTTCATACATTGGTACATTTCCTACTGTTACATCACAACTTTAGATTCGATCAAAATAAGAACTTTGGTATGCTTGCATTATTAAATAATTACACTTAATTAAAAAGTTACATAAATACATCATAACACAAATTTGTAATAAGGTTTGTGATCTTCACAGATGTGAAACTGTGTAGCCTTAAAGGTGGATGACAACAAGGGGGGGGACATAGTACAGTAAACCCACACTAAACCAGATCAATTTGTTGGGGGGGAAGTCATCTGGAATAATGAAGCAAAAGATAGCCATAAAAAACTTAGAAAATAAATAAATGGAAAATTTAATAACATATGTAGTGCTGATGAAAATAAATAAAAAAATATCACTGCAGCAATTTATTGCTTTGTCAGAAGCTGAAATCCAGGGCCTCTTTCATCCAGTTCAAGCCAATTTTGGATATTTTCTTGCGAGGTTTCAGTCTCTCCAGCTGCCCTTAACATGGTCTGAAAGTCCTCTTTCTCCAATATCATGTGTCTTTTAAAGTATGTACTCAAACATGAACAGAATTTTTCATGTTTTGATCCCGATTAACTAACTGTAACTGGTTTAGCGAGGGTTTACTGTTATCTCAAACTGAAGACTGAGGCAGCATGTTCCTCCAGAAGGTTGGTGGCCACCTTCAGGTTTATGCCGGCAAAAACCAGAAGACCACATGCTGAACACTTGCTGAAGTGAAGTCTTGAAAACTTACATACCTTGAAAATATTAGTCAAGAGATGCAAACTAAAATATTATAAACAGTACCATCTTCTAGAATGCAATGCCATTTAGTCTGGTGCTTCACCAGTGTTTCACAGGAACATTTTCAAGCTCGAAGAATAAGCCAAGAAAGTAACCAGCGAGAACAAGGCAGGAAGCAGAATTTGCATGACTCTTTGACTCTGAAGATGGAGGCAGTATTTTTCTTTCTCCATATGTCAGTAATTTCTACCAGGCTACATGGCATCATATCCCAGAAGTTGGTATTTTTCATGGTCACTGCTGCATGAACCTCAAATCCAGCAGTCCAATATTTTCCACAAAACATGAGCAACACACTTGAAATACACAAATTCTACAGAATTTGACGTCTGTCTGGTTATTTATTTATTTACAAATTTGTATCTCAAACTACAAAGGTAAAGTTGTCCCTGTGCTTAATTAACTAAGCTCTATGGCATGAAGAAGTATGGGAGAGTGGGTGTATAGATCCATGTATTCTTGACTTCAGCATTAGTTGGAGGTGAGTGGTCAGCTTCACACCCCTGCCGCTTTACCACCAGAAAAAGAGGATAGGAGGTTGGGTAAGCTCCAGAACCAGTCTGGACAACATGGACAGGAAAAAAATTTGGCCCCTAGCAAGACTTAAACTCTGATCACTCAGCCTTCCAGTCCGTAGCCGATCATTATACCGACTGCGCTAACCTGCCTCTATAAACAAATGCCAAGCAGGATGCGGTGTTCCCAAGTGGTCATCCAAGTACTAACCACATCCAATGTTGCTTAACTTCAGATGAGAACCGGTGTTTTTTTTTTCAATTTCCCTGGGGGTAAAGCGGCCATGGCAAGAAGCTGACCATTCACTTCCATCTAGCGCCAAGGTCAAGAATGTTGGAACTATACCTCTGCTCCCCCATGTCTTCATTACATAGTGCTTAATTAATTAAGCACAGGGACAACTACATGTTATTGTACGTATATTATAAACATGGAAAGATACAAGGACTTCCTCATTTTAAACAAATTTCATTTAGCCAATACACAAACAAAATTGTACAAAAGAAAGCTGTAACTTCTTTCGGGATAATTTAACTATGTTTGACAATGTAGGAAAGATATCTCATCTTGAAGCTTCACGCAATCCTTGGGGTAGTGTGGCATATTTTTTTTTTCTTGGCACTACAGCCCAAGTGGGCTTAGGCCTACCTCCATGAACTTCTCCGTTCACTTTGGTTTTTCTAGATCTTACACATTCAGTAGGACTCCTTGCACGGGTGATCAGCTCGTGGCAAGGCCTCCACCTGTACACAGACACAGAAAAATGCGCACACACAAACTAAACATCCATGCCCTGAGTGGGATTCGAACCCACGATCCCGGTTTCCAAGCGAGCGAAGACAGTACATGCCTTAGACCGCTCGGCTACAGTGGCCGGCAGTGTGGCATATAACAAGGTAAATCAGATATCCCGTCTGTTCAACATGGTAAACAAAAGGGGATTTTAAAATAACATAAATGATGCAATGAACCGGAAGAGTGTAGAAATTGATTAATACAAATTAACATCACTAGAGAAAATAATAAATCAATGACAGAAACAAATTTAAGAATTGGCAGTGGAAGGGAGAGCAGATAGTGCTGCTGCTAGTTTAGAAGTTGATAATGGTGATTATTATGCCAATATTACTAACATATGGGTGCTAACTGGGGTCCTGGTGTAACAAAGTATAATTTGGATTTTACAAAACATGGAAGTTCTTGTCTTATGAGATCATGTGCCAACAGCAAAAATCCACCACAGTCACAAGTTAAACTTCTAACCCTACAAGCAAAAGTCTCACTCACTTAGTGTATTATGCCTTAAATATGTGTGTTTTACCAACACGTTCAGCAGAATTAAATCTGTATCATATTTAGAACTTACAAAACTATTTACTCTAGAAATTTACAGACAAAAGAAAGAATTTCTCTGCATACTCCGCAACACAATTATATTGAAACACAAATGCACCCCCATTCACACACTATAATACACTCATCTTAAAACAGACTTAAAATATATATAAATTATACTTTTTGTTGTCATTATTATTATTTGTAGGTGTAAGGCAGCGTCTACACGAGCGCACAAAATTCATCCGTTGTAACGAATGTACTTTGCTGAGAACACCACACAGTTGCAGAATGCGGTGCGTAGTTCTTTGTCTGCAATG